CTCTGCAAGCATGTCTCCTTTCAACTTCTTTCCTAGAGAAGCCTCCGTTCTATTCTTACTCGAGAAAAGTTTCTCCTGCAACAGCAAATGCTTTTAAATTTGGAGCAGCAAAAAATTCATCCAAAGTAATAATAATGCACTTTTCTAGAATAAGTTATCTCCCATATACAGGAGATAGGATCTGATAAATCTAATGCTATTTCCTAATCATTAATTGTTTCAATATATGTGCATATGCATCCATTTCCTCAACAGTATTGGTTTCAGAGGCTCCGGATCCAAAAAAATATTTGAATAGGAAAACTAACTCAAACGTCAACCCTAAAAGTTTTGCAAGGCAATACTAATACAGAGCACAATAACACAACAATATGGGCAGAGAACTTTATTATCTTACAGAAACATCTTGGAATTCATCGAAATTGGTTGCGACTGTTTCCCACTGATATGATGCACTGGGAAGGACATTGGAACCTTTTCCCTTCACTTTCTTCATATCAACCTTCCTTATCTCCCGATATAACCGATAACCAATTATTGGATCATCTTCATACCTGCAGCATCCACAAACACCCAGTAAATAAGCACTCAAACACAACAGTTCAATTTACATTTTACCCATAAACCCTCCACAATGGAAAGCATAGTTGATGTAACATTTACTATGAACCAAACAAAGGTAAGCTAAAATGGATATGATAAGAAACTTCATTATATTACCAGTAAGAGATTCCTTGTGAATCACCTCCAATACGTTCTTTGCGAAATGCTGAAAGTTGAACTCCATGCTTCAGTGAGTTGTCAATATAGTTCCGAATATCTTCTTGCTACAATACATCACTCAGATTTAGTCCTTCTGGTAAACTAACAGAAGCATAGACATATGATCCGGGAAGTAGGTAATACCAAATCAATTTTCTAGTTCTAAAAACATGATTTCCATGTCATACATTCTAAGACCCAATTCTGAAAAGAAAAAAGGGGGAGAGAGAGGGGGAGAGAGAGGGAGGGACGGAGGGAGAGAGAGAGAGAGAGAGAGAGAGAGAGAGAGAGAGAGAGAGAGAGAGAGTGCATTGGGTCTCCAACAGATTTTCCATTTCAATTTAAAGAATGGTTAATATTTAGAGTTTGGACATACAGACTATCATATTGCTTAGGCAATGGACCAAAAGGTTACTAATAACATTCAATGGATTCTAACATTAAGTTTTACAGAAAATAAATGCTTAGTTTAAATCGATTAACGATAACAATACCTCAACACGAATATCACAAAGTGCTTTCAAGATGACCACACGGACCCCAGGATCAAGTGTTTTATATGCCTCAATCTCCGCCCTATCAAAGTAGCATGATGTGACATGTTATAAATGAAAAAAAATTCATACGCTAGACTAAACAAATACACATGATTGCTCACCCATGTGAAACAACAATGGGTAGATCCCCCTCTGCAACCTGCAATAGACATCCAAATTAGTTAATATGATTCCGCAGAATTACAAAACAAGTTGGCTCTAGCCCAAATATTGCCAACAACTAATTATACGAGTACAATTACCCAATGCCACCAGTCTCTCAGCTTTCTGCATAAAACAGTGACCCAAGTATCACGTGTAAGTGCCATTCGCGTAATAGGAGGAATTGCCTGTAGAATAAACCAATTAAAATTCAGGGGCAATCCAGTAGCAGTTGCATTGACAAACTAACATATCATTAATTTCCCAGAAGCATGAGCATTCCATCGGTCATATAAGATTAAAATCACAAGGAGACATTTTATAATCCATTCACTAGAATATGACTTATAACATCCACATTTATGCAGTAAAATGGAAAAACTTAAAATTCCGGACTTACAATGATTTTGAAACATGAAAATGACAAAAGAAACAAATTAAAGCTTTAGAAATATCACAAGGGATCCTTCCTTTTCCAGAGTATTGACATGTTCTAGTTCTTAAAAGTTCAATTAAATTAGGAACAGTTAGTTGACAATGAGAACCATGACAGAAATAGCAGTGGCTATGCACTGGTGTGAGTTAGCAATTAGATTCACGTAAACAGAGCAAAACCGATGAGAGAATTAAAGAAGGCATGATTAACAAAGAATTAATAGCAAAGATGGTGCGAGATGAGAGAAGTAAAAGGATTCACATAATCGACTCCATTCTATTGGGGTAATGGCTTTGATTGATTTAATTGACTTGTCAAACCACACTGGTCTTTGGAAGAGGCTTGGCTACAATATTAGTCCTCACATAGGACATGTCTTCTGCAGAAATTTCGACAAGATTCCACTCAAAGATCATGTCTCAAAAGCCAACAAAAAGACAAAAAGATAAATTATTCCAAATTATATGATATGACACCTCTCCTAGATCCTGCGTAAAGCGGGAGCCTTGTGCACTGGGTACGACCTTTTTTATATGATATGACACAGGTATTTCGCATTGCTGCAAACCAATCCAATTGCATCATAAATGTGTTGCAAGTGCCCAATAAAAACCTCCAAACTCTTCTTTTACATCTATTTCTTGAACTTTAAAAGGTGTTTGCAAACACAAGGGCTCAAGTATTGAAGCCATTTTGGGCCAGGGTTCTTCAGACCACAGATTGTGGTCATTAACATATGGAAAACCATCCCTCCGGAAAGAAGCTGTTTTCATTCCTATCTGCATTTTAAAGGGAACCTAATGGACTGCTACCGGATTTACCCGGAGGAATGCTTCCGAACTTTAAGCAATAAAACATAAAAAGTTACAAGCTTTATACCAAATATGAACTAATGAAAACTAACAATGCACAAAGTTGTATATGTTTTCGAATAACCTTCAACAATGGAATGTGAATGTCACTCAAAGTATCGTTGGGTGTGATCAAAGCCGTCTCCAACTCCTCCGCCGAGAACTCATCCGAAATATTCAGCAGCGGCCGATAAACCTGAGAAATACAGAACAGAACGGAAAACACATAAGCCCTAAAACACCATGAAACCACAAAACCCTAAAAAGGAAAAAATCGAAGCTTTCGAGAGCTTACGTGCAAGAAATTGAGTACGGAAGCCAATTCCCACATGGAGCGGAGAGTCCAGCGAGGCAATAGCGAGGGCGGGGGAGGTTCCACCAGCGGTGTCACAATCTTGCTGGCGCTGCTGCATTGCGGCGACGACCGCTCGTCATCTCTCTGCTGCTGCTGCTGTTCCTTTTTGCTGACGGCTCGCCGTTTCTCGGCGGGGTGGTTCTGCTGCTGCTGGAACTGCTGCTGTATCCGAGCGGCGGCGCGTATGGTGCAGGCGCGGGAGGGGCGGTTGCTCCTGGATAAGGGTGGCGTGGGGGCCGGGGCAGATGCCTTGTTGTCGTTCTGAGGGGGTTGTTCTTGCTGCTGGGGCTCCGGCGAGGATCGGACGGCTGGGATCGGAGGAAGTGAAGATTCCAGAGACATGGTTTTTGGGGAGATCGAGCAGAGAGAGAGGGTTTAGTATGAGATTACATGCAGGGGATCAGCAACATTGGGGGTTAGGGTTTGTGGGTTAATTTCGTTTTTGGAATTTTAGAGTGAGAAACACAGAGGAGAGAGGAGAGAGAAGAAGAAGGGCACGGAGGAGGGGGAGGGACCAAAAGCTCCAAACCACCTTTCACATATCACTCTGGGTTTATTATTTTTTGAGTTAATTGGGAGTAGCTTCATTCAATTTTTTATCCTTTTAAATTATAAATTTGTGAATATTAATTTTGAATTTATTATAATATAGAGTCATGGTCGTTTTGATTAATTTCATTACAACATTTTTTTTATCTAAAATAATTTTTCTGAAAAAAAATCTAAAATAAAAATTTTAGACAGATAAAAAATGGACAAAAGTTCTAACGGAACCATTGCTCCATATTATAGTAAGTTTATGAATTAATACTCACAGATTTTTAGTATAAGGATCAAAGTTCTAATTTGACTAAAATTTAAGAACAATTGCTCTAATTTTCTCGTTGGTATTGACATTAATACTATTTTTGGGAAAATTGATTAATTAATTAATTTAAAATATTTGTGCTTAGTCCGAGAAGGAAAAAGAGAAGGAGATTATATAAAGTGAATAACATTACACAAATTGAACTCAATTTAGGAAATTAAGAATAAATGCGAATTTAGTTAGTTGGCGGCACAAAATATATCCGTCTCTTTACACTCTTGTTTCATTTTTTTTTTATTATTTGCTTTAGTTTAGAATAAAAATAACACTTCATCAAAAATATATTTTGATTATTGTGTAACGGTTTTTCTAGTAGAATTTGTGTAATTGGCATAAAAATAAAAAATAAAATCCATATTTAAGGCAAAAGAATAAAGTAATGTGATAATCCATCAGTCATTCAACTGCGGACCTTTACCCTTTCCTGTATTTACATTATTTTATTTATTTGTGTTTTTTATTTTCTTTTATTTTCAATTATCCTTTTCTACTTTTTTTAGTATAAGAAATAGATAAAGGAACGTCAAAGCAGAGATGAACAATTGAAGTGAATATATATTATAAATTAATTATTATGAAGATTAAAATTAAATTACACACTAAATTATTATTAGGATAATAATTAAGTGTTCACTACTAAGTATTCTATATACTAACTTTCTGATTTAGTCAAACTAAAAAATATTACGGTTCTATTTTTTAAAGTCCAAAAATATAAATGATATGGTCATTATTTTTGAAAAAAAGCTAAGCTTCTTTTCCTCTAATTTTTGTGCACAATTGTTTCCTTAACTTCATTATTAATCATAATTAATATACTTCAATCAATTTCATCACATATTACACACAAACCATTCCCTTAAATGTCAAAGCCAATTTTCTTTTGTTTGTTTTTATTTCCTTTCCGCAAGAAACACTATCAATATGAGCAATTTTTCGGTGCACTTGGAACACCGTCACGTAGTGTTACTATTTAACCAAATTTTTAATACAAATATTTGTTTATTTTAATATATGCTAGAAATAATAATTAAGAATCTCGTCGTCCACCCATTGTATAACACATAAAATTCTACACCAGGTCGCAAATGTTTCCAGTACACATAAAAAATTCTCAAGAAATAAAATCTCCCCTTTTAACACTCAAAACATATAATTACAAAGAAAAGTTCCAAACACATTGATACAATAGCCTAGAAAATGCTAGACAAAACTGAGGAGAAGCAACACTAGAGAAGAAAACAAGAGCACTGCATTCTTAGATGGGTGACTTAACCACGAAGCATGAGATTTAGGCAAACCAGTAGGACCTGGGGTTGCACCAGCAGTCGCATTCTCCTTTGAGCATGTGTAACGACACCGACTAGGCCGAACAACTCTGTAAACGCCGCTGCTGGCTAGAACGAACATGTCCTTGCGGTTGTCCTCCCCGAACGAGAAAATGTAGCCTAGAGCCGGAAGACTACTGTCCGGGACAGAGCTGCAAGCTATCGGAGAGTCACTTGCGCAGCTGAAAGGGATTTTGCTCGAGCTAAAGTTTCCGCTGTTTTCTGGATCTTCGGAGCCTGCCCATATTGCACCAGCGTACAAATCGCCATACAAATACCTGAAAAACAACCTCATCAAGATCAGTACTTCAATAGTACTGGTGCAAAAATGTGCAGTCAAGAAAATGCTTCAGTTCTCTTAGCTAGGCCAGTTTTCGAGATAACTTTTAATTATTTTTGAAGAATGATGATCAGTTACCTTCCATACGTGCACGGATCAGTCTCAGACCGATAGATATAGCCCCCGGTTATGGATGCCGATCCTTCTTTCTTGTTCACTTCAGAATGGTTGTACCCCATGACGGGAAAAATTACGTCTGTAGGTTTTGTGGATGTGTTTCCAGCAAGTGACTTCGGAGGAGTGTAAGTGTATGGGCCTTCATAAAAACGCCAGCCATAGTTTCCACCCTTGGTGATCACATCCACCTCTTCATATAGATCCTGTTAGGTGAACAAATCAGTGTCAGAGGATGTAATTTTTAAGGGGAAGAAAACTCTTTGTAGTTCTCTTCAGTTCATGTCAGAAACAGAAAATTTCGAAGACTTGGGATCTTCTGGCAGACAGAAATTGCTTGTAAAAACTTAGAGATGAAAGATTTATTCTATACCTGCCCGACATCTGCGCATATAAAGTAGGAAGGATTTTCTGCATCAAAACTGCAGCGCCACGGATTTCTTAGTCCTAGAGCCCAAATTTCCGGCCTCAGTGCTGGATCTTCGGTGAATGGATTGTCTTTGGGGATGGAGTAGTTTCCCCACAGACCAAGTTTATCCATTTCTGCAGCACCTGAAAATACATTGCAAGGTTATCAAATGTGCAATAGGAAGCAGATTGGTTTTGGTAGCAGAAATGCTGGTACTTACTTGGTACATTATCAACGTCGAGCCTCATAATCTTTCCAAGCAAAGATTTCTTGTTTTGAGAGAAATTGTATGGATCGCCTACACCGCCACCATCTCCCATCATGAAGTATAAGTACCCATCTTCGGGTCCAAAGAGTATCTGTCCTGCATGATGAGCTGTGAAAGGAAGGCCCATGGTAAATATCCTCCTTACTTCCGTTGGTCTAGCGCTCGTTGCCTGGCAGAAGGATTCATTGGGAGGAGCTTTGCGGTCAGTTTTCATGAAAAAAAGGCACAACAGGAAGTATGAAAACTTAAAGCAATGAGCAAGTTAAAGTAACCGAAAATTGACAGAAGAGAGTATGTAGTGGTGTACCAAGGAAGGCTGGGATGCAGTACCATTAGCAGTATATTCTGCTACAACACTTTGGTACTGGCACGGCTGAGCACCATTATCGGAACCTAGCTTCGAAGGATCACAATCAACATCTGAATTACATGAACATCGTCCAGTGCATCCAGGCCACTTAACCTTGTCACAGTTGAACGAAGCAAAAAACCGACCATTTTGCGCAAAATTGGGATGGAACGCCATCCCCATCATTCCAAATTCAGTATCGAAATGAACCTCATCGGTTAGATCAACAAAGGGACTCGACTCATGAAGCCCCATTACACCTCCTGATCCATCTTCAGGAATTGTTGCCAGCCAAATTTTGCCTTCCTGGGTCGAGAAAAACGCGCGGTTGGAGCCATCCGGATGAGCAACCATGTTGAGGTAAGATCCATTTCCAATTTTCTCAAGGCACAAACCATGTGGGGGGATGGGAATGCCAGAATCATTCAGTGTGACCGGCTCGCCATTGAAACATACTGATTCGTCGCTAGAGGCTCCGCCAAATGCGCTGCAGAAAGCGGATTTTGATTGCCAGAGTTTGGTTAGCTCACTAGCATTGGTCTTGGCAGGCGGTCCACCTTGTAATGAAGGGTTAAAGGGGGAGTTCAAAATCGACACATTTTGGCATGTGTCCCATACGGTGGAGCAAAAATCGGTTACTGCTGCCTTAGACTGGGATGAATTTGATGAAACAGTTGAGTTGCAGAGAACCGGAACAGGGCGGATCACAGGGTCAACGGTAAATAGCTCACCCGAAAACGGATCACACCTCTGAAATCCATAGCAGAAAGGAAATCAGGAGATGATATGCATCATGCTCTCACTAGACGTACAAAATTATAAAATTGAAAAAAATTGTAACTTTATAAGTTTATATACAAGTACTAAACGCTACTAATCACTTGAGCTACAATCCACTTGCAGAAACATTATATAGTTTACAAAAAGGGAAAGAGAAGGACTTACTGCACAAAGTACTGATTTCAAAAGGGAAGCACAGCCAGAATTGGAGATGTTCATGGTTTGGAATTGCTTCTGAATTTGTGAATCTTCAGTGGAGTTGCAGCAGGCAGTTTCGTTGTAAGGACAAAACTTGAGTGGAACACTCAGAGTAGAAGGTGCCCCTGCAATCAATTAAACCATTTGGATGCAATTTCATAAGGAATTTAAGATACTCAAACACAAAGCATAGTACGAGCGATATTCTACTTTAAACTAATCTAAACTGCCGGGAAGAGGATTCGAGCGTAAAGCGGCAAACTTTGTAATACAAAATTGATAAAAAGGAAATAGAGGGAAAAACTCACTTGAATCAATGCATAGAGGATGTGAAGTTGAAGGATTGAACAGCAGCAGCAAGCTGCATAGCAGAAGTCCAATAGCAAGAACTCTACCCATCTCCACACCAGAAGAGAGAGAGAGAGAGAGAGAGAGAGAGAGAGAGAGAGAGGAAGAGATTGTTTTCCTGTCCCTCCCCTTTAATCTAATTAACAGGTCAAAATAGCAACACTGTTGCTTTCATTGACTTGAGAGAAATGCAAATTTAAAGCTCACAGAATTATCAATTTCTGCCAATCCAACCACTCTCTTCTACCGGTATGCTTCTCCATTACAGCACATTCACATGTTCATCTCTCTCTCTCTCTCTCTCTCTCTCTCTCTCTCTCTAAAGACCAAAGTTTTAATATTCAGCTTCCAGAAGGGATATCATTTTCAATCTCTCTCTCTCTCTCTCTCTCTCTCTCTTGAGCTAAGCTGCAGAAATGGATTTGTTTTCAATATCTGTCCCTCACAACCCTTTTGATAAATTTTTCATTTTTCAACTCATTGATTCAAAGGCTGAAGCTTTATGAACAACTTGCAAGTTTTTAGATATTGGGGGTTGGACTTTTGGGTTAAATTTTTTATCCAAATTCATTAGGGTTGTTGGGAAGATAGATAAATTAGACGCCCACTTGTTTTGTTGTTTGCATAGATTAAAAAAACCAACTTTGGATAAATCTTGGGTGGTTTTCAGTGTGTCTTGTGCCAAATTTGAATACTCAAATGCCCTTGCGGGTAGGGTGGGTGTGTTCAAAGTTTGAAAAACCACCCAACACCAAAAGACAAGCCGGAAACTCATCACAATATTCCGATCCTCACCGGATCCTTTTGGTGAGGACTTTGGGATCCGTAAATCGTGTTCGTTCATCATACATCGTGCGATCAGGTTTTGTCAAATATTGTTTATGTTTACTTTTAAATTAAAATATTTAAAACATTTTCTGACCGCACGACGTATGATAAACAAACACGATTCACGGATCCCAAAATCTTCACAAAGAGGATCACACGAGGATCTGGACTCACAATATTCAATACGATTTGGGATCCCACTTGGATTTTAGCAGTAAAAAACCCTAATGGTGGGATCCAACGGCATTCATGACTCGATTGTGGAAGGAAAAAACCAAAATATTGTTAGGGTAAAATTGGCAATCCCTGACATAATGCCTGAGTCTGTAATAGCTTAGACTTGTTATACATTTTCAATTGTAATAGTTTAAGTCTAGGAAGGGTTCTCACACTTTCGATGCAAAGATGTTACCTACACGCGATAAATATTCAGGTACGTTTGCATGCATACATCCAACTACATTCATCTATATCTCATGTTATTGTTTTGATATATGACTCTTAACCATTGTGTGGTTTATCTCTTTAAAATATCTTATTCCCTTATACTCGAGATTTTAAAGCATGCAAAAGAGTCTAATTGCATTAGGACTAATCTGATGGTATTGAGACTTTTCAAACGGTGTTATCAAAACGTTTTTGGGTGTTGGTAGAATTATTGATCGATATGGCTTGCCGTCCTTATCAATTGATTTGGTGCGGTGCCGTGGTATATATAAGAGAAGTCAGGGACGTGCAAAGGTGAACCATTTTATGCATAGAAACTGATTTTATTGAAAAGGATTTTTGAAGAAACATCAGTTGGGTTTTTCGTGTGCGTGGAAAAATAATTGAAATACTGTTGTTTGCTTATGGTTCCAACAGCATGGGTTTTTAAGAGAAGATATTATTTTTCATGCTGTTTTTCTTTGAGGTTTTAAATTGAATACCAATTATGGAAATGAGCCTTGTGATTTTCGTAATTGATTGTTTTCCAAATACACACTTCATCATATAAACATTCTGCATGATCGAGTTAGCATCCTGCAAAGTTCGAGGGAAAGGTGATTGACGGTTGCGTTAGTACCGTGCCACTTCAACTCGAGGACTGAAGAAAGATCGAGTAGCAAAGCGCGAAGACAAAGCTGCCAACTGGTATGAGTGTCTAGTTGATGAGTTTTGTAAGTCTTTATGTATTCTTTCTTTCTTAGTGCTTCCTGGCTTGGTAGCCCGAGGATTTTCCCAGTGGTGGGTTTTGCCTCGTTAAATCCTACATCATGTGTGTGCTTTTTATATTCATGTTGAATATTTGTGTAGGATTAATTTTGAATAACTGATTAATAGAAACTATAATTTGCTTTAGCGTTAAGTTGTCATTTATAGATTAAGTTAGTACCCATCCTAGGACTTTCAAATATGATGTGGGATTAATGGATGGTGCTATCATATAGTCAACAAGTAATGTTCTTATCTATGTGGTCACATGGAGAGTTAAGAACCGAGGGTATGAAATCGATGCATAGAAGTCTCTTTTAGGAGAGAATTTTGGCAGGCGAGCCTAACCAGTTAGATAGTCAAGTGCTTATTACAAAAGAATGAGTGTATTTGAGTATTATCTGATCCGACTCCATTCATGTGGTGCAAAGAGATTTTAACCGAGTGTATGGAATAGGGGTGGGCACTTAGAACCGAAAATCGAAATCGAAACACGAATCAAATCAAACCGCACCGAACTGTTTGGTTTTGCGGTTTTGAAACCAAACCGCAACATAAAAAAACGGTTTGATTTTGATTTTGACTTTTGAAAACCGCACCGAAACCGAACCGCACAGTAAATATTAATAAACATTTAATTAAATGTCCATATTAGATTTTATGTTTTAATTGGTTGCTTGTTAGAATCTATACACTTAGTATGGACTCAACTACACTAGAATATCATCATTCATCACTTTTTTTAGTTCATTAACTTGAAGGACCTTTGTTATTTTATACTATCATACACACACACACACATATGTACAAGGGTGGACTAATCATGTTATCAAGAGTCGAACAATGATCTAATGAAGTCCACTTATTTGAAGTATGATATCACATATTCCAGTATGAAAGTTTCGCTCATGTTTAATGAATTCAAAGTTATTCAACTTGTTTTATGTTATATCTTGTACAGGACACCCTTTTGTTGTACAAACCATATTTTAACATCACAACTGCATGCAACATGCTAATTGTTTACATAACAAATGTCTTTTTCCTATTGCTATTGGGAAATGCTTATTAATATGTTAAATTGCAAATTGTACATTTTTTCAAAACCAAACCGAAACCGTTTGAAACCGCATCGAACGAAACCAAACGTTTTGGTTTCATTTTGGTTTTGGCTTCAAAACCGTATCGAACCGAACTGCAAAAAATTTCGGTTTCGGTTTCGGTTTCACTCAAAACCGCACCGAACCAAACTATGTCCACCCCTAGTATGAAACAATGATATAGATATATCTCTTATCTGTTGATAAAACTCAACACCTAATAATATGTGGATAGATTAAAACAATATCAATGATACCGATTAAAGATATTAAACTTGAAGTTTAACATCGTAGATAGTTAAAACTTAAATAGGACAACTTGATCAGTTACATGGTTGGGCCCCTCTCATAATGAAATAAATCTCATTATATTACTCAGTACGACCCTCACTGGGTAGCTTTCACCCACTCTGAGTATTTCTCCTCTTCTAGATGTGCAGCTCTTCTAGAAAGAAAAAAAATAAGGGTCGTAATGAGAATCGTCACATGTCTAAAAATTGAAAAAAAATTCATTGTGACAGGAATACAAATGTTATACCACGTGTTTTAATAGAAGTGGCGAGAAATTTTATTTTTAAGTTATTAACATTTTAGTACATATCTTATCATATATATAATGACAGATGATGTACCACTCATGTACTGATCACACTGAAAAATCTCTCCTAAAAATCAATTTGTCAGTGCTTTCTGGGATTGTAAAAGTTAGAGCAAACTAAATAAACAAAATGGCTCAAGAACAAAGCCTGTTCACATTAAATAAGTGAAAAAAACAGCTGTAATTGTTGAACGTGGAGAGCAGAACATTGGACAGATTACAACAACTTATTAGCACGACAAAAGGAATTAAGATTCTTTTCGGATCTTTACGCTTAGAGGGGATGGATTCGAAAATTCGAACAAATCCTTTTAAATTATACAGTTTTTATTAGTTCATCTCACTGATTTATTTTACACAAATTAAAGATTTTGATCTCTCATTCTTTCTTTTCAATGGTCCGAATATGTGAATTCTTGCGCCCCAAACATAAAAATTCAGAAAAGATCTCGACTTGACAACATGCAGTTTTTGAAACTTAGAATGTTAAAAAGTTGGGATGTGATATCCACACACAGTTTTTTACTTCTTACACACCCCCTTATTTGTTTCTGTCCGTTGATCTTCTTCAACTTATCAAATCCGACGGTTGAAAACCAAAAATATATGGAAGAAGTAAAAAATGGTGTATGAATATCCCACCCCTAAAAAGTTTAAAACTGAAAAAGTGGTATAGGACTTGGCATGCTTCTGCCCCTAGTGGAGTTGAGATGAGCGATGGCCTATGGGCAAGTCCTAGAAGTTGGCCCAGGAGACTACCACATGTACTTCAACAAAAATTGTTTCCCCATCACTTTTAAAAAGTTCCGTGTCACCAATCGACATTAGAACCGATTGCTTGACACGGGCAATACATATTTTGACCGGATTTCATGATACTTTTGCTACTTTGATCCATTTTGTTGACATGGTTGCATATTTAGTGTGTTATGAAAAAAAATCAAGAGTTAAATTCTGATATATTGCCGGTTGATATGTGTAGAGCGGCCAAGAAAAATTGGCATTGGTTAGCCTCGATTGCCACTACTGGTCCAATTGGCTCCCACGTTGAGGGACCGAACATTCAGATGAGAGAAAAACACTATATTTAGAAAGATAAGCACACCTTAATTTGTGAAATTAATTTATGACTATTTGATCTAGTAAATATTTACTCTCCAATTTATAAGAGATCTTATATCCAAATCTGATGAACAACATTTGTTTAATAAACGATTATAGCCTATGACAAAACTTAACATCGAAGTATGAGATTATTGGTTTTTTTTTTTTAAGTGATAACAAAGTAATGCAACTTTTAGTCATATATTATAACAAAGAGTTTGAACATTATATACACATGCACCTCATGAAGGACAAGTACTAGTCGGAAGCCCTACTCTGTTCCACCATTTGGCTCACTCTTCAGTCGGAAGAACGTCTATCATACGCAGTCTTACCCTTTGTAAATAAATTGTTTCCACAACTCAAATATACGACATTTCGGTCATCAAAGAACAACATATCTGTTGCGCAAAACTTACTCTCTTTATATTGGAGTTGATAATAAAAATATCAACTCGAATAAGAACAATAATTATGCAGACATAAGGGGAACAAGAACGTTGACCATGAGTCACAGAATGCTCCTTTGCCACATATAAAATTGCAGCGGCTTGGTCTTCCAACTCTATAAACACCACAGCTTGTTAAGACATAAACATCCTTCTTGCTGTCTTCTGCAAATGAGAATATATACCCCAAGGCAGGGGCATAACTGGAGTTTCCTGCTGCTCTAATGCTGTTGCATTGAACTGGAGAATCATGGGCACATCTGAATG